GGCCAGGAGCCCCTAGTAGCTTCTTGCTCCTAGTAGCGATGCCCTTTGTTCCTAGTAGCTTCTTGCCGAGGCCATGGCCTTAAAACGCATCTGTGGCATTATGAAAGAAGCTGAGCGATTGAATCGTGAAAGCAGGGCCTTTTCGAAGGCCTGGGTCTGGACCACTACTAGGGCGCTACTAATAGCATCTAATAGCTATATAGTTTAATATGATTTAAATACCCCTTGCTCCCCCACCCCGTGAGATGACCGAACAATGTGTCTTTGCAACGCCACAGGAGTCCCAAGGATCTTTTTTAAAGGAAGCACTATGCCCACTATGCCACCTGATATCTCACCATCAAGTTGAGGTCCTGTACGGATTGATTTTGAGCTACGTGATCGTCGTGCGACGTGTGAATGTTAAATTGAGGGGAGGTGCCAGGTGTCAATCTGAGGCGTTTGGCCACACAGCGGGACGGATTTCGGCAGTTGCGGCTTCAAGATGGTTCCACCGTTCCACCTTCCAACAGTAGATGCATCAGACAAGGACGCTACTAGGAGCAAAGTGCATCGCTTCTAGTAACAAGTGCCTTACTAGTAGTAACAAGAAGCTAGTAGAAACAATAAGCTATTAGGTTGGAGACAGATTCAGCATGATTCAGCTGAACTGCTGGCTGTTGACGGCAGCATGCCATTCACCAAGGATAAGAATAGTGCAGAATTTCAATGTATTTCATAGCCTATAGCTCTTTGCAGTATTTTGGATCCTACCATTGTCCAGCTGCTTGCCATCTATACTATACTTCTGATGCATTCTGATGCCATTTGTTACAAGAATCGTATTTCTCAAGTTGCTTGGCTTCATAGCAACAGGTTTGAGCAGTTTCAGAAAAGAGGTGATCCGGTCCTTTTGGGCTTTTGGGCCCACGGTGGAATTTCAACTGCCTTGATCCCGGGATGACTCTAGATTGGATAGGCAGCTGAAAAGGATTCGTTTTGAGAACCGCTCGCAGCTCGATCGACAGAAAAGGTCGTGTGCTGGCAGATGCTCCAGACAAAACGAAACAACAAAGTAAACGATAGAATATATACTACACTATACAATTTTTAAAGCTTGATATTACTTGATGGTCGTCTAGAAGGTTTCGACACTTTGCAAAGTGCTTCATCTCGGAAACGCTTGCTCAGTCCCCTCATGCCCACTTTCTCGAAGGTCGCATTCTGCCACTGTCTTTGTAAGGTCCGTGTACTAAATTAGTACTAAGTTACTAGTTTTTTGCATCTTTCTTATACCCAGATGACAAGATGTACGTCTTTTGATCAAGGGAGTTATATTCTTAAAGTTGAGGGCTTGAAAGGATACATATTGACATATGTGGAGCCCCTTGGGCACCCTCTTTGATTTTCAACGAATTGATTGAGCTGAACATGAGTGTCGAAGGTCAGTTGAAGAAGAATGCTCCCTTCGGATGCTCCTCAATCCGCAAGCTCACCTTACAATCATTTGCATGAGAGATAGGTAGGAAGAGATAGGAAGAAACATGTTGGACTCTACAGTCACTATTGCTAACAAGAAGTGAACAGACTAAGTGTCGCGGCGCCAAGTGTTTCCAATCTTTAGGCGATGGTCTTAGGCATCCTTAGGCCCTTTGGGTTCAGCAAGGACGCTACTAGCAGCTCCTGGCCTTACTACTAGTGACAAGAACGCTAGTTACTAGGAACAAAGGGCATCGCGTTCTTGTTACTAGTAGTAAGGCCAGGAGCCCCTAGTAGCGTCCTTGCTCCTAGTAACGATGCCCTTTGTTCCTAGTAACGTCCTTTGGGTTCAGCTCTTGGTCCTTGTTGGTTTTGGCTCAGAAAGAAGGGAAGCCTTTCCAACGAGATGACGAGAGACCGAGCTGGGAGGAGGTGCTTTGCGAGTCGACACCTCGCGCGCCACAGGGCACACAGCACCGTTCCTTCTTACTGTTTGAAATGGCCTCCAACCTACTAGCAATGGCCTCCAAGATGGCCTCGAAGCTAATACCAATGGCCTCCCACCTAATAGCGATGGCCTCCAACCTACTAGCAATGGCCTCCAACCCAATAGCGATGGCCTCGAAGCTAATACCAATGGCCTCCAACCTACTAGCAATGGCCTCCAACCTACTAGCAATGGCCTCCAACCAAATAGCAATGGCCCAACCTACTAGCAATGGCCTCCAACCCAATAGCGATGGCCTCCAACCTACTAGCAATGGCCTCCAACCTAATAGCAATGGCCCAACCTACTAGCAATGGCCTCCAACCCAATAGCGATGGCCTCGAAGCTAATAGCAATGGCCTCCAACCTACTAGCAATGGCCTCCAACACAATAGCAATGGCCTCCAACCTACTAGCAATGGCCTCCAACCCAATAGCGATGGCCTAGAAGCTAATACCAATGGCCTCGAAGCTAATACCAATGGCCTCCAACCTAATAGCAATTGCCTCCAACCTACTAGCAATGGCCTCCAACCCAATAGCGATGGCCTCCAACCTAATAGCGATGGGCTCCATCCTAATAGCAATTGCCTCCAACCTACTAGCAATGGCCTCCAACCAAATAGCGATGGACTCGAAGCTAATACCAATGGCCTCCAACCTACTAGCAATGGCGTCCAACATAATAGCAATGGCCTCCAACCTACTAGCAATGGCCTCCAACCCAATAGCGGTGGCCTCGAAGCTAATACCAATGGCCTCCAACCTACTAGCAATGGCCTCCAACCTACTAGCAATGGCCTCCAACGTAAAAGCAATGGCCTCCAACCTACTAGCAATGGCCTCCAACCTAAAAGCGATGGCCTCGAAGCTAATACCAATGGCCTCCAACCTAATAGCGATGGCCTCCAACCTAATAGCGATGGGCTCCATCCTAATAGCGATGGCCTCCAACCTAATAGCGATGGGCTCCATCCCAATAGCAATGTCCTCCAACCTAACAGCGATGGGCTCCATCCTAATAGCGATGGCCTCCAACCTAATAGCGATGGGCTCCATCCTACTAGCGATGGCCTCCAACCTAAAAGCGACGGCCTCCAACCAAATAGCGATGGGCTCCATCCTAATAGCGATGGGCTCCATCCTAATAGCGATGGCCTCCAACCTAACAGCGATCCAACCTACTAGCAGCTTGGCCATCCTTGTTAACAGCGTTGTTGGGGGAAATTGCAGGCGCCGTGGGCCCTTGCTGCCGCTCCTGCCGCTGTTCGCGCTGGGGGCCGGCGTGGGCTTCGCACCAGTGCTGCGATGCCCCAAGGCGCTCGATGCATCAAGAGTTGAAGACACGGAGGCCATCGCTACTAGGGGCTCCTGGCCTTACTACTAGTAGCAAGAAGCTAGTAGGTTGGAGGCCACTGCTAGTAGGTTCATTGGGTAGTGAACTGGGAAGCAAGGGACGAGGCCTGGAACAGATTCTTGGCCTTAGTCGATTGGTTTTTAACAGATGGTGCTCTTCTATTTCTGTTTAGCGAAAGGCTAGATGGTGTGGAGTGTCACAGAGTTCTGCCATCAAATGAGAGCTGAGCGTGGTTATCAAATAGTATCAAATAATACTCAGTGTCACAATCGAATGGATAGAACATGAAGCATGCGGAATATCGAACTTGTGGCCCTTGTCCTTGAGATTCTGCGGGTAGATTTGTTTTAGCATCGTCGACTTTGACACCGCTTAATCGACCTGTTCGGATTGTTGTCACTCTCCCTCCACTGTCCCGGAGCACAAAAACGATCGGCACTTTATCTCATCCTTTCAGCACCTTACGCTGCAGCTAGTAGCGTCCTTGCTCCTAGTAGCGATGCCCTTTGCTCCTAGTAGCGTCCTTGCTCCCAGAAACCACTTAGGTGAGCGGCCCAGGGCGAATGTGTGGGAGATCTCGAGCCAAAGAGCCAGACCGCGTTGTGCGACAGATCTCCAAGTTAGCTCCTTGGCGATGTCGCTCTGTTTTTGGATGCGGATGATGTAGATATAGCATATAGTCTAGATGTGGCTTTTGGGTCTCGAGAAGGGGGTATTTTGACACCTGGCGCAGATCGGTGTGCCTTTGAACTGCCTGACATGGAGTTTTGGGGCTACCGACGCGGCGCTGCCGCACCGATCCAAGGATTCGTTGGGCTTTAAACGGCAGTGCCTCGGTGCGATTAGAGGAGTTGTCCGAACGCGCTTGGTGCAGGTCTTGACAGTCCCGGAAGGATGTGGAGTCGAGCGTCTTTGTGACGAAAGCAGATAAGAATGGAAAGAAGACAGTGTCCCCAAAGACCAAGAAAAGAGAAGAAAGGCTAAAGGACACGGACAATGAATGCTTGAACTTTCTTGATTTTTGCATGCCCTTGAAGAAGAGTAATACTACTTAAAGAGAGTGTTACTAGC